CTTGCCTCCCTTGTTACCGACCCGTCTGTCCCTCTCTCGAGTCTTGACGCTCGTGTCGCTGCTAACGCTGACTTCGCCTCTACCCACCGCCTTGACAATGCCTCTGCTCTAGTCTTTGACCCTGCCTGTCCTCAGTCCGTCGGGGGTGCTCCTGCCCTTCGCAGTGACGTCCTAGAGAACAGCTAGAACGAGCTCGCTATCCTGTCGGAGGCTGCTCCCCATCTCTGTCCCATGCTGCTAGTCCCTGAGGGTGACCCAGACACCCTCGACATCCTGACCCCTCGCACCTATGCTGAGGCGACCTCGGGACCCTGGGCCTCTCAGTGGATAGCTGCCATGGAGCAGGAGATGGCATCTTGGAGATCCACCGGCACCTACGTTGACGCTGTTCCCCCATCCGGGATGAACATAGTCGATGGCCGCTGGCTCTTCAAGGTGAAGCGCCCTCCTGGAGAGCCGCCTACCTTCAAGGCGCACCACGTGGCTAGAGGCTTCAGTCAGCGAGAGGGGGTGGACTTCTTTCAGACATTCGCCCCGACCCCGAAGATGACTACTCTTCGGGCGTTGCTACACGTAGCAGCACAGCGTGACTACGAGCTTCACTCCCTCGACTTTTCCACTGCTTTTCTTCAGGGCAGCCTACACGAGCAGGTCTACCTATGCCGTCTTCAGGGCTTCACCGGTACCTTCCCTCCTGGGACCCAGTGGCTCCTCCGGCGGTCGGTCTACGGCCTGCGAAAAGCACCTCGTGAGTGGCACGACACGCTGCGTGCTATGCTCGCTAACTTGCTGTTCTTTCCGACTGTTGCAGACCCTTCGCTCTTCATTCGTGCTGGCAAGACTCCGTTCTACATCCTTGTCTATGTAGATGACCTGGTCTTCGCCACTGCAGATAGAGACGCACTGGCCTTTGTGAAGGCTGAGCTGCTGAGGAGACACACCTACACTGACCTAGGAGAGCTGCGCCGCTATCTTGGCCTGCAGATCACTCTTACACAGTCACACTTGGTGCATTAGGTTCTTCAGAGGTTCGGTCTTCAATTCTCCTCCGCACAGCCCACACCTCTGTCGGTAGACCACAGACTTTCAGCTCCAGTACCTGAGGAGTCAACAGAGCCCAGTGGTCCTTACGCAGAGCTGATGGGTTACCTCATGTACCTGATGACTTGCACTCGTCCAGATCTCGCATACCCTCTCAGCATCCTGGCCCGCTTTGTGGCCACAGGCAGACACTGACCACAACATTGGTTAGCCAAAAAGAGGGTTTTGCATTATCTAGCGAGCACATGGGGCATGGGGCTAGTGCTCGGAGGACGCAGGCTTGTGGTCCTTACTGGGCACATAGACGCTTCTTGGGCAGATGACGCTGAGACCCTCAGGTCCTCCCAGGGCTACTGCTTTAGCCTTGGTTTAGGTACTGTTTCGTGGAGAGCTACCTGCTCCTCGTCTGTTGCCGATCTGAGCTGTTTGTCCGCTTGTTAGGCACTGCCCCTATATAGTCTAGGGGGTGTGTCAAAACATAACGTAGTATGTTACTGTAGACTATATAGGTTTGGCCTATATTCCCTTGTACTCTCTCATTTTATACATTCTATCATTCTAACCAGGAACCCCTTGTGCTGACGCGGCGCGAAGGCATTTCTGACAGCTAGGTGTACAGCAGGCCCTCAGATTCGTTTTAGGTCACGCTGATTGATCAGTGTCGATCTCAAAAAACACCCTGAAAATCAGCTTTTGGTAGTGGTTTTCTGACTGGTTGGCCCTAGTTCTTCGTTTTCAAGGCTGATTCATCAAGGTCGGTACAAGAGAACACCCTAAAAAAAAAAAAAAAAAAAAAAAAAAAAAAAACAATCAGCGTTAAAAGCCTGATAACCACGGGGGCACTTTGAACGCGTGACCAAAATCTGGAACTAAAAACGAGTACAAATACACTCTCGAGGGAAATCGGGGGTCCTCAAATGATTTGCCCCAAACAGTGGGTCCTCACAATCCCTTGACGATATTAAGACCCATGGTCCAGAAAAAAGACCAAGGGGTCCTTTTCCGGGGGGGTAATCATGCCAGGAGATTACGGTATATACTTGGCACTGGCATCAAGTACAAAGAGTTCCCAATATATTCATATATTAGCATAAACTTTCTACACTAGGAGGGATATGTCTCTGCCAAGGGTGATCCACCGAAGCAGTGCATGTTGAAGAGGGTAGACGAAGCGGGTTGGGTGGGCGGGAATTGAACTTGAGCTGGGAAAAATAAAAATGTGGGTGGAGGAAGAATGACCTCCAACCCCATTATATGGTTGGAGAAGGGCGAATAGCGCGCTTCGATGATGCCTGAGATTGCGTTACAAGCAGCTTCGCATTCACAATTAGCAATTTTGAAAGTGTGAACACTTTCAAATTTAACATATTGAGAAAGCTTGCTTCTTGTAGTGCAAATGGCATCGTTCTCATTCCACTGGGTTGACCTGAGACATGGAGGGAGATGGTTGTCGGTGGCGTGCAAGAGCTCGAGAATGTTGTGCTGGGGATGGTGTCGACCCGAGGGTCTGTACGTTGGGGGAAGCCGCAACCAGTTGGTCGACGGCGGGTGTGACTTACATTTCTTTGGCCGTGTCGCTGCGCCATAGGCCAAGACGTTTGAAGAGCCGGTCCGCTACGCCTCCGTGGGCAGCGACGGTCGCAATGCCTTTGCGAAAGGAGTGGGTGCCGAGGTGATGCTCACCCAAGCCGATGGACTGGAAAGCCTCCTTGCACCAGTTGCGTATGGTGGTGTATGATGGTGGCTTGCTGGTAGGGACGCCGCCTGCGGCCACGCCGAACACCCGGATTAAGGGTCCGGGAGTGGTGGGTCCATAGCCTGCCAACCGGATGAAGCATTTGGTGCATCGGACAGGGCAGAGGGGTCCTGGGACGGAAGCAACAGGAACCCATGAGCCCTGACCTGCCTGGTACGTTTTGGAGCGCGGGATGAGAAGCCACATTACGTCATCCTCAAACTGGATATCCTCCCAGTTGATGGCCACGAGATCGGAGTAACGCAAAAATCCGACGTACATGAGAAGGGGAATGAGACCTTTCTGGAAGGTGGCCGGGTCGTTAGCACCGATGAAGTGAGTAGCCAACTCGTGCACTTGATGTAAAGAGACCGGTTCCTTGGTCCGATTGGGCCGGGGACACTGTCGCTTGGCGAATTCTCGAACTTGTGACGTGAAGGGGCCAGTGCTGGGGTAAGATGCCCCAATCATGCAGTGAGCGAAGCTGATGGCCGAGCATGTGAGTTGTATCACTGAGAGAGTGGCCTTGTTTCGAATTGCATAGAAAAGGTACAAGGCGAGTGTCATGTCCGCGGCTGGCAGGAAGGGAAGGTTGACCTTGATGCAGAAGGAACGAAACTGCTGCCCATAAGGTTCGTAAGTTTGAATTGTAGAGTGTGCGCGCATTTGTGCCATGACCGAGAGCAGCTCACGTTGCAGGGTTGGGATTAGATCTGTTTGCGATACAGGCGGGGAGGCAGACATTAGGGAAACGCGACTTGCAGAGCGAGCATGAGGCTATCAGGTAGACCAGAGCCAAAGAAGGCACTAGTGTGTGTGCCTGGGGCTAAGCATTGGCTTCTGTGCGTGAGTCGGATGTGAGCTTTGATGGGGCTAGCCCAGGCTGGCGGTGAGGGTTGGAGGAGTTGCCACCAGCTGGCGCCGAGCCAGTGGGGAAGTACCAGGGTGAGAAACGTGTGTGTACGTTGCGCATGGTGGAGGACGGCGGGGATCAATTGAGGTGGGGGGAAGGCGAAGCCGTGTTCTGCTGACCAAGAGATCGTGAAAGCGTTGATCGCCGTAGCCGTGGGGTGCGGGTTTTTGGAACAGAAACGGCGCAGCTTGGCGTTGCTAGCATTGGCGAAAAAATCAATGGAATGGGGACCCCAGCGCCGATCAAGGATGTTGAACCATGACGTTTTCAGCGTGTAGTCATCGCGATCGAGTATCTTGGAAAGCTCGTCCGCATGCGTGTTGAGTTCGCGAGGGATCCACTCCATCATGAGGCAAACTCGGTGGGTAGTACACGTGCGAATGATCTCCTTGCAAGTGATGGTGAGATCAGAGCTGTGTGAGCCACCCTTCTTCAATATGAAGAAAACTCCCTAATTATCCATGCATACGAGCACATGCTTGTTTCGGAGTAGGTCGTTGTATGTCTGCAATGCCCATAGAACCCCTTCAATCACTCGACGGGTACTGGACGTGTGTCGCCAAGCGGCGGGCATGTTCATGCTGGCTTCATAAAGGTTGCCCGAGAACGTATTGAGAGTAGCCCCCCAGCCGTGGCTGCTCGCGTCGATGTGAATTACAGTGTCGTAGCTACAGCGCACATGAAATGGGGCACCGTTGAAGTGGTCAAACTCGGTTGACCAGAATTCCAACTCCTTGCAAGCGATAGGTGAGAGCGAAGCGTCGGCTTCCGAATGACAAAGGAAGAGGATATCGTCCACATACGGTATGACACGCACTCCCCTTGTTCTCCAGCGGCACGCAAGCTGCTTGATCAACTGCGTGAAGATGAATGGTGCTGTAGCCAGTCCGAACGGAAGGGAGCGGAAACAATATGAGTGCCCGCCAAATTGAAAACCCAGGAATTTCCAACACGATGGGTGAATGTCGACGTGGTGATAGCCAGACTTCAGGTCGATTGAAAACATCCAATCGCCTACACGCGCCAACTCTGCGACGCGACTGAGTCCCTCGTACTTGAATTTGGGAATTTGCAGCTCCTGGTTGACCTTGCGCAGATCAAGGATGAGACGACATTTGTCGCGCTGTTCCACAACGTTGAGAGGGCTGACGCATGTGAGCGTTGATTCTGGCACCTTTGCTGCGGCGCCGGTTTGGAGGAGATCCGCGATGGCGGACTTCGTAAATGCCTCGTGAATTTGGGCCCCCGCATGATTGGTGCTACGGAAAAATTGTGGGGGCCCTTGTTTCCAAGGCATCCAGTAGCCACTGTCAATGACTGGTATGATCAAGCTACTGGTGCACCACGAACGCCACCAGGGTAGTGCGTCTCGCAGGCGCCCGCGCATGGTTGAGACCGTACGGTCCGTCACTGCTTATTCAAAGGGATCACCAAGCCCTGTAAGGTCATGTGTGAGTAGTTCTGCGAATGGAATCCAACAAAAAGAATGGGGTAAGGTTCGTAAATGCTGGGCAGAATGAGCGCGAAGTCCACCAACATTATCGTGAGCTTTTCTTTTCTTTTCTTTTTTTCTTCTTTTTTTTTGAAGCCAGGGATGTATCCATGAAGGCCGGTGCCTAATACGATATGAATGTAAGGGACTAGGGCAATGTGTATCTGGCCCGGCAGCCGGTCGCATGCTGCGCCACCGCGCACGCACTTTCGATGTTGCTTTCTCACGTTCGGGCTCTCTCTCTCTCTCTCTCTCTCTCTCTCTCTCTCTCTCTCTCTCTCTCTCTCTCTCTCTCTCTCTCTCTCTCCCTCTCTCTCTCTCTCTCTCTCTCTCTCTCTTGCTCTCTATCTCTCTCTCCCTCTCTCTCTCTCTCTCTCTCTCTCTCTCTCTCTCTCTCTCTCTCTCTCTCTCTCTCTCTCTCTCTCTCTCTCTCTCTCTCTCTTTCTCTCTCTCTCTCTCTCTCTCTCTCTCTCTCTCTCTCTCTCTCTCTCTCTCTCTCACACACACATACTCTCTCTCTCTCTCTCTCTCTCTCTCTCTCTCTCTCTCTCTCTCTCTCTCTCTCTCTCTCTCTCTCTCTCTCTCTCTCTCTCCTCCCTCTCTCTTTCTCTCTCTCTTTCTCTCTCTCTTTCTCTCTCTCTCTCTCTCTCTCTCTCTCTCTCTCTCTCTCTCTCTCTCTCTCTCTCTCTCTCTCTCTCTCTCTCCCTCTCTCTCTCTCTCTCCCTCTCTCTCTCTCTCTCTCTCTCTCTCTCTCTCTCTCTCTCTCTCTCTCTCTCTCTCTCTCTCTCTCTCGCTCTCTCTTTTTATCTCTCTCTTTCTCTCTCTCTCTCTCTTACTCTCTCTCTTGCTCTCTCCCTCTCTCTCTCTCTCTCTCTCTCTCTCTCTCTCTCTCTCTCTCTCTCTCTCTCTCTCTCTCTCTCTCTCTCTTTCTCTCTCTCTTTCTCGCTTGCACCATCTTTCTCTTGCGAAGCATCGCATGTTCCAGTAAGCCAAATCCCTCCAATGGCTTGTCAAAGAGCATGTGATGGGACGGAAGCTAAGGCTAGTTATGTACCTCGCCCTAGACCTTGTAGGCCCAACAAAGTGTTCGGTTTCATGTGCCTTGATGTGGCCGCACCCATTTTTTTGTCGTGCCTTCTTCTAGGTTAGGCTTGGATGGCAAGGGCGCCCAAGATAGGTTCCTAGGCTCCGAGAACGGAGCTGCCTTGTGGGGTCCCAAGGCATTGTGAGGCCTTTTTTCAGAGTGAGGTCCTCAATAATATTTGAGCTTCGAGTCTCGGGCCTTGGCCACTATCCAACAGGGATTCTATCTTTTAAAAAGATGATGAAACGAAAAGAACCGGCACCTCCAAGGGTGTGACTACCGAGGCAGGTCAAAAATCCTCATTTACTTTTCACAGTTGTTCGCCGTGTGGCCCGGCTGGCCACAGCGAAAGCAAGCGCCTCGGAAGCCCCTCTGGGCGCCGCTCGGTGGAGGGTCAAACTTCCCTCCAAAGCCCATAGGGCCGCGGCCTGCAACGGGATGGCCACGGCCATAGGAGCCTTGCGCGCGTTTCATTGCCACAACGTCTGCAACTGCTTGCTTGAAGGGGCGTAAGGTGAGGACACTCTTCTCTTGGTAGAGCTTGAAGTGGTGTGCCGTCTTGAAGTCGGGGGCGTCGGCGACTTGGAGGAGCTCGAAGCGCTTGGCGATGAGCGCGTACGCCGCCTCGAAGTATTCGAGCGAGCTCGATGTGTCGCCGTGGCGCACCTTGTGCTCTGCGTGCTTCAGGTATGCTCGCAGGTCTTCCAGGAACTCGGCTTGCTTGCGTACCCCAGCGTTGTTGAATGATGATGCCGGGATGGTTGGGTTAGAGAAAGGAAGAGGTGGGAGGTGCTCAGTGGGTGCGAAAAAATTAGTGTGTGTATGAGCCTCACCAGCCTCCTTGTCGGAGTCACTGTCTTCCTTGGCATTGTCTTGCGTGGCAGCAGCTAGCTCCTTCTCGGCGCGGGCGGTCTTGGAAGGACGAGCGTGACGCGACGACTCCTTTTTTCCATCTTCAATTTTAGTCGAGGCATAAATGGTAGTCGCAGCTGCTATAACCGCGGGTGTGTTTTGCTGTAACAGCACCAGCAGTGCCGCCACTTGCTTGTTGGTCAAAGCAGGGGCGGCGGGTGTTGGCGCGCTGGATGAGGCCGCCCCGCGGCCTCGCTTGTTCTGACGCGAGGGGCCCGCCCTGCAGTTCGGCGCCTTCTGCCCAGTTGCGTCAGCAGGTGACGCGCCATCCGCTACTTGCGTCGCCTGCTGCTCGCTGGCGCGTGGCTCACCAAGCTCAACTTGGTTGACCTCGCCACTGCGCAGCAACACGCAGAGGGCAAAAGGGGCGAGGTCTCCCTCTGCCCGACGCTTGTTGCCGCGATCACCCACCATTTCACTGGCGTTTTTCTCGGGTTCCGAAATATTCGGGAGTGTCGACGGGCGGATTTTCAGCACGATTGGCCGGGGTGCTAGGAGGGGCCATGGCTGACTGGTTATGCGTAAGGATATCAGCGAGAAGCTGGGAGGGTGCTTCCCTGCGAGGGAGAGTTTTCAACTTCGCCAGAGTGGCGGAGCGAAAAAGGCGTGATGGGAACTCACTTGAACTTGAGCTGGGAAAAATGAAAAACGTGGGTGGGGGAAGAATGACCTCCAACCCCACTATATGATTGGAGAAGGGCGAATAGCGCGCTTCGACGATTCCCGAGATTGCGTTACAAGTAGTTTCGCATTCACAATACGCAATATTGAAAGTGTCAACACTTTAAATTTTTACATTTTTAGAAAGTGTTATACACTTCTAAAAAATCCATGTTACAGTGGACCAGGGCCCTAGATTGGTTTTGAGGCTTCTTGATCCATCTGGACTCTCCCTGCAGAAAAGTCTGAATTTTCAAGGTCCCCTAAAAAAAAATCATGACCCATCAGAATTATTTCAAAAAAATATACTGCTTTCTCAATCTTGGTTTTTGGGGGTGCTGGGAATTCATAGCGAATTCGCGTGTGCGGGGCGAGATTGGGGTATGGGCAGGAAACGACAATTGGTGGGGGGGAGGGGGGAAGGGCTGACTAGGGGGGGAGGCGACGAGATTGCAGGGGCGGAGGGAATCTCTGTCAAACATAACTTATGCGGTTACTGTAGACTATATGTGTTTGTGCCTTAGTGGGTACAGCTCACCAATCTATATTGCCTTGTATCTCCCCATTCTAGTTATTATTCATTCTGATATGGTATCATACTAGGTTAGGTCCCCCCCCTAGCCTGCCCACGCTTCCGCCCCTAGGCCCTAGCCGCCGTCTTGCCCCGCTCCAAGCCTGCCCCCTGGCCGTCGCGCCCGTCCCTAGCCGGCCCCCTGGCCGTATGCGCCCGCCCCGAGCTGGCCCCCTGGCCATTCGCGCCCGTCCCTAGCCGGCCCCATGGCTGTCGCGCCCGACCTTAGCCGGCCCCCTGGCCGTCGCGCCCGTCCCTAGCCGGCCCCCTGACCGTCGCGCCCGTCCCTAGCCGGCCCCCTGACCGTCGCGCCCATCCCTAGCCGGCCCCCTAGCTGTCGCGCCCGTCCCTCGCTGGCCCCCTGGCCGTTCGCGCCCGTCCCTAGCCGGCCCTCTGGCCGTCGCGCCCGACCTTAGCCGGCCCCCTGGCTGTCGCGCCCGTCCCTAGCCAACCTCTTGACCGTCACGCCCGTCCCTAGCCGGCCTCTTGACCGTCGCACCCGTCCCTAGCCGGCCCCGTGGCCATCGGGCCAGTCCCTAGCTGGCCCCCTGGCCGTTCGCGCCCGGCCCCCTGGCCGTCGCTGTTGGTGCAACCCTATGGCTTGCACTTGGCGTGTCGTCCTTGTTTGTGTGTGTGCATGCATGGCATGGAATGAATTGTGAGTCTATGTCATTGCTATCCAGTGCTTGTGTGTGTGTTTGAATGGTGTATCACAATGTGGTTTGTGTCGGTCAAGACATTAGCGAGTTTTTACAACTCGCATGTCAAGTCGTCGTTTGTGTGTCGCATGTGTTTTTTCTATTTTGTTGAATGTGAAGTGTCCATCGTGTCGCAGGTGTGTGCAGCAAGCCCCCATCAACTCAAGAAGAATTTATCTTGCAGATCCAAGAACAAGAGCTGAAGATTTCAAGCCCAAGGGACGCGGATAAATATTAAATAGTGAAAATAGTAACGTTACTTCGTGTAGTGTTATATTTCACTTGGTGTAGCCCCTTGGAGGGTTGGTTTCGAGACTCTTCATGGTTGGGGACTCTGTGGTGGTGTACCACCAACCTGGACCTCGGCTCTTGGGGTATGTAGAGGCTGGGAACCATCTCCCTCTCGAACTCTTCTTGCTAAGTTTTGTACTTCCAAGACTATAGTGGCTGCTATACCTCCTGTCAGTCAAACCGCCATAGCGTCGTCAAATCTTCATGGAATTTCATTATTCAACTTGCTGCTGATAGACGACAGCAACGCGCTCAAGATCCAATTTACAGATCACAGTTTAATTCAGCGACCAGATCGTTATCAATATTTGAAGCCGTCTGACGGAATTCCGACTGTGCTCTCTATCTCTCATTATAGGCACATCTAAGCCTATTGTGATTATAACAAGTGGTATCAGAGCCCCTTGGAGCCGTCTCGACCATGCATAGACCTGAGGAAGGGGGTGGCAGAGGTGCTGGAGGCAGAGAAGACGCCCAAGCACAAGGTCAACACCAAGATCCACCTGTTGCTCCGGTGCAACCTAGCCTTGGACCCTCTAGGGATGAGCCTAGAGTGTTTGGCCTTGACAAGTTCAACGGTGACAACTTTGCTGAGTGGTCCTTCAAGATGGAGAACATCTTTGACCACTATGATCTACTGGAGGTGATGGAAGGAACAGAGAAGCGCCCCGAGAACGACCCGGAGAAGAGCCCGTGGGTGCGGAAGAGCGCACAAGGCTACCTTCTACTTGGGCAAGCGTTGGGGAGCAGCCAATTCCGTCACATCAAGCCTTTTCAGCGTGAACCAGCAAAGGGACCAAAGGCATGGGCTGCTCTCAAGGGTGTACACGCTCCTGCAACAGCGGCGGTGGCTGTGGTTTTGGAGCGGCAAATGGCGGCACTTCGAATTGACGAAGGCGAACCGGTGGAGGAAGGAGTGCAGAAATTCTTCGACTTGTTGACACTAAGCAAGAGATGGTCAGTGGGATACGTGTCAAGGGGGAGCCCAATGAGGTGCTTGGCTGTCCAACATGCATGCAAGCCAAGTTCACCCGCTATCCGTTCCATAGCTCGGAGACAACGGCGAAGGCACCACTTGATGAGGTGGTGATGGATGTGGTGGGCCCCTTGAAGCTTGGAGCTGCTGGAGCAGAGTACTTCCTCACCATTGTGGACGTCTACACTCGCATGACTTGGGTGTATGTGCTGCCCAAGAAGAGTGACGTAGCTGAAACGGTGTAGACCGATTGGTTGCCGATGGTGGAGCGGCAACAAGACCGATTTGTGAAGGAGATTCGCACTGACCGTGGGGGAGAGTTCCTGAGCAAGGATTTCTCAACTTGGCTGAAGAATCAGGGCATAAGGCACTCTCTTACCTTGCCCTACTCTCCTGCAATGAACGGCATCGCCGAGCGTGCGAATCGGACACTCACGGAGACGGCTCGGGGACTTCTCATTGAAGCCGATCTACCCAATTACTTTTGGCCGGATGCGGTGTGGCATGCTTGTGTGGCCAAGAACAGAGCCTTGACTCATGTGGGCGAAGACAAATGGGTGCCCTATGTGGAGTGGATTGGAAGGAAGCCGAAGGTGGATATGCTTCGGGTGTTCGGGTGCATGTGCATGGCACTTGTGCCTAAGAAACTTCGGCACAACAAGCTTGATGCCAAGGCAACATGGGCCGTGCACCTGGGCATGGCCCAAAACAGCAAGGGATGGCTTCTTTGGGACCCATTTACCAAGAAGTTCCTGGTGAGCAGAGATTGCAAGTTCATGGAGAACTTACCGT